ATTCACTAAATTGTTTATTTATTTACAGCACCTTTTGTGTGTTCACAGCTCTTTTCCGCTGATGTATTAAGATGTAGAAGATGGATAAGTTCTAAATCAAAAAGAGTCGACCCCAGTGAGCAATGTTAAGATTTTACTCCCAAAAAGTGAATGGGGAAAAGTCGGTGTTTTCTCCCAAGTACGTGCTGATTACTTAAGGAGGCGAATGCAAAGATTTATGCTCGCATAAACTCGCGTCATCGGGCTGTCACGAGTACTTTGGGTTTTCAACAGTGCAAAGAGTCAGCTGACAAGATTTGCTACTTGTCACTCAGGCTACACTCTTACCTTATGATCCTGAATTGCTCTACAGAAGCTATGTGGTTCGAACGATTTGAATATGATACCAGTACTGCCAACGAGAAGTGTGTAATTTATCAAACCTAAAAAACACTAAAAAAGCAAATATTATAAACACGGAAGTGGTCTAATGGCAAGTGGCACACTTCACACACGCATGATCAGGGGTTCGATTTAATTCCCAAAAAGACACGGTTTCGACTTAATTTCTGAGAAAAATCATGCTGTATGTGTACCGAGTTGTCCCGAAAGCAGAAGTGTCCCATCCGCACCCTCGGTAAATATCGATCCGCCGACGACGCCGCCCCGCTTACGCACGCTTCTCACACAGGCACAGTTATCAATAGTAACACGAAAGATACCCAAAACCTACCAAAGCCGTATGCATGGTAGAATGGTAGAAAAAGAAGAATTTTCTCATTTCCATAGTCCCAATTGGGATCCAACACGCACACGATGTTCGTTGCTTCATGCCTGAACGTCGATGCATTACGAAAACGTCATGAAAACCGCTGCGACCGCGCTGTGAGAAAAATATTTTACTTTTGTCTACAATCGAGTTATTTTTATGTTCTCAAGTGTACTTATGAGTTGATGAATTTTTGTAGTGCTGTGTAAAAAATGTAAAATGTAAAAATGTAGTGCTTTGAAGTTCCAAAAATGGTAGGGCGGGCTGTGATTCGAGTATTTCCATTTGCACCAAATCGGGCCTCACTCTTTAGTGAGAGATTATGAATTTAAAGAAAAAAAGGTTGGGTTTTGGTAGTACCACCATAGGGTTTTGTCTAAAATTCACGTACTTGGCATAAATCTCCATCATAGTGGCGAAGTTCCGGTGCGATAACATTACACCCTTGGGCGATCCAGTTGTACCACTGAAAAATCGAAAGCATAAGAGCGTACATAGCAGCAAAGGTTTTCATTCCCTTTCGTTTTCTTCTTTTATGTTACTTTAATTTGTAGTCATAATGAAAATAAAAAAAAACGTTCATTTCACTGAAAATCCGTATTCATCCAGGCAGCTAACAGTGTTTATATGACCTCTGAAATAGAAGTTGATGATGTTCAAAAGACTGCGAATCAGACAGCTCTGCTCATTGGCACTTCAATAAACCTATCAGAAAAGTGTTATGGGAAGAAAAAATATATATGTGTATATATCTATGCCTTCCTGTGTTGAATCCCGCGGGAAACATACCGAACTACATACAAACGCAAAAGCACATTGCACAAACATATCATGATAGGCACCTGGAGTACGGTAGGATGATCATGTCCTTGTCGACATCAATATGGGGTTCTGGAATAGATGGTGTGTATCGTGACTTCATAACGAGATTCCAGCTAACTACTCCATCAGGTACTGGATGGTCCTCAGTTTCTGGTATGTAGATCACAAGCTGGAAATCGATATTTTGCAAGCTGTACTCTGCAGTATTGTTCTGTGTCAACAATCCACATCTTTACAGATACACATGTTCTCCCACTTCTTAAGGTTAGATCGGTTCCGTAGCTTTGANGGTGTGTATCGTGACTTCATAACGAGATTCCAGCTAACTACTCCATCGGGTACTGGATGGTCCTCAGTTTCTGGTATGTAGATCACAAGCTGAAAATCGATATTTTGCAAGCTGAATTCTGCAGTATTGTTCTGTGTCAACAATCCACATCTTTACAGATACACATGTTCTCCCACTTCTTAAGGTTAGATCGGTTCCGTAGCTTTGAAGTAAAGCATCATTGGCCTAGCTTCCATTTATTAGGCCAAGAGCCGGCTATTGTTTTACCTTCGAAGCGGTTACAATAACGTTCACTGAGCAGCATAACGCTGAGTCCAGTGTTCAAAGATGAAGGGCTCTGACATGATTGCACGTAGCTCGAGGCCAACCGATCTTGGGGAGGTGATAAACGACAGCACGACTACCTGAGCAGACCTACGCCCATCAATCCCATTCCTTTAATCATCTGGTTCGAAAATCATGAATTCAATAGATACAAACTTACATGACGCCATATGTTGGTGGTCAACGTTGAGATGTCGGGATTTGTAGGATGAGGTAGGATGCACGATGTTCTATGCAGTCAGGGTTAGGGTAGGAAATAACCCAGCCGGTGAAGGAAGCTTGGTTGACCTTGGTAGGTTCAGTTCTGCCATTCCGCATGTCTTACCATCCACTTATCGCGATTCCGCCTCTGCTTCATTTAATTTTTGTCATTTCAGTTCTATGGTGCTTGTTAGACTCTAGTCATGGTAAGGGTCATTTTTAACTAGAAGAACACCAGCTTAGAAAACTAAGGAAGCTCACGTACGTCGTTTAGTGACTGAGGAAAAGTAAGGTGTTTTTTGTGAACAGTCAAGTTAACAGCTCCACCTCACAACGTATTACTGCTTACATTAGTAGGGAGAATTACTGTAACCGAGAGAGACACTCGCGAGAAAAAAGTCTCTCGTCTATGAGTTAAGATATTAAAACAAAAACAAACTGCGCCTCTCAATTTGCTCCAAGATTTCGAGGACAGGAGTTGGAAACCATTGCAAGTTCGGTATGCTTTCGATTCCTCAGGTATAGCATGTACGCTACAAAGGTATACTCTAGCTGGGAGAAGTAACGTGCAAAACGAGGCTTTCACACTATGATGCCATCATATTCAATCACTTTCTGGCACGATCGGATTTTTCTGCAGCCCTTTTTTCTGAATTGTACGTCAAAAGTCGATGTCAGCAATATTTCAAGGATACGGATTATGGGTAGAGCTTTGGGATCGAATGGTACTCGAATCAGTAATTCTCAGTGCTAGAAAAGTAATGCTGCAGATTTCATCGCGTTTCTGTGTTGAAAATTTCACTTATGGCCCAGGTTGCTTGTGACCACAGGACTACGTTCTTTGCGTTGAATCCTCATTTAATAGAGCAACAACAAATTAATTTTCCATTATGTCCCATCAGAGCATAAGAATTTATATCTAATCTAGACTCTGTAAATATCCCATTTGGAATTGACAAAAGACTTAACACTAATATCTACGACGCACTGTCATGGATTTGAACATCATTTATTAGTAATCAATTTGAGCTGATTATTTGGCCCAAACATATGCACAATATACATTGGTCTTGGAGCCATACAAAGAAAAAGCACTCACCTTGACATTGGGACTGTCCTTTACTGCCTTGAGAACCTTGTCCAGATAATGCTCAGATGTAAGTACGACTTTGGCTCCGGAATCAACGAATTGCCTCTGCAATTCATCTGAAAATACATTGAGTAATTTGGAATTCTCTCCAACTCAAGGTTTTCGTGCTAGGACCTTTCCTATCAAGGAGGTCTTTGCTATGAGTATTCAAGATATGAACAACCCACATTTCACTCATTTTCGTTTCACATTACTGAAACAATACTACCACAGTAAGAAGTAAGTACAGTGCAGACAGCAAATTCGAATCTGCACACAAACGTCTCCGCAGACAACCCCCCTCCCCCCTCCCCCTGTTTCTGCTTAATTTCATCCCCGTGCGACCTCTTCGAATCGTTTTCTTTGGAAGTGAACATCTCTGAATCTGAATTCTTTCTATTGCCTAAACTTCATTGAAATGTACTTACAGTCGGTGAACATCGCTGATGCTCCAGAGACAGCCCCGCCTCTCAAGGCGACTCCGAGGAAGAACGACGAGTAGTGCCACAGATTCGGAATCACCGCACAGGCGACACTTTTCTGAAAATCACTACAAACACTATGAATTACTCACAAATTCATGACTTTTTCAGGGATTCGTATGTCTAAGGATAATCTGGACTTGTTCGAATTTCAGTTAAGTTAGAACAAAATGGAGGAAGGAAGGCGTCAAGGCTTCAGTGAAACTAAGTTACTATTTCTTGAATTCAGGTGATTTTCTACGGATCGAACCGTAAAGAAGTTGGATTCTGTTTTAAATCTATCAGCAAATAGCAGCTCTGAAAAATGGAAAAACTAGGATTCACTAACCTCAAATCCTTTGGAATAAAGGAAGGCAGCAACTGCATAAGCACTATCGTACACCTTTCTGAATGATACTGTTTCGCTTGGTTTTTCTCCATTGATCTAAAATCGGAATAAATCAGAAAATACTCATTTTTATCAAGTCCTTTACTTAAACCGGTTCCCAGTGATACTCTCTCGGATCACTTACAAAAGCGATCTTGTTTTTGCCATGGTCAATGTGATGCTTGATGGCTTTGAGCAGAATTTTGTGATACGGTTCTTCAGGTAACGTAACTGCAGGATAATCGGAATCAATCATTATCTGAAAACTGTAAAAACAGTGCTGACGATGATTGTAAAAGGGCTAGGCGGAAACATCGGAACTGAAAACGAAGGTCACAGTAATCTTATCAAGTGGATTCAGAATCCTGTCCAGTTCTGACCAAAATGCTTGCCCTTCATATCACCCTGGAGTGGACTTCTCTAAAGCGCACTCTGTAGTCCTACTATGCCGGATGCGAAATCACCAGAAAAGTCTTTCTCTGTCTTGTCAACACGGTGATGGCTGATACTCCTGAAAAGCACCCCACGGTCTCACTGTCCAATGTCAACAGAAGGAAACCACCTCACACAGTAGTTTCTCGGGTTTCAGGGGACTTCTATAGTTCTTTCCTCGTCATTTACATGACTTTCAAAAGCGATTGTTCATAGCGTGAGGTGAACTTCTACAATTCACTATTGTATGAATGTTTGATAATGTACCATAGTTCCCTCTTCTACGTGACGTGCACGTGCATAGGCACTTGAGCAATGCGAACAGGAAAAGCTATATATCACGTTTTAGTGACTGACTGGCAGACAACTGCAAATAGATTACTCTTATCACTTTCACTTTTTATGCCTTTAGTGACTAACTTAAATTAGATAAGCAGAGTTCAAGCTACTTGTTCAGGCCCACTTGCTTCGACCAGTACGCTTTGTCAAGTGAAGGAAATGGTTCTCCAATGATACGACTTTTGTCACGATTAAGCCTTTAACGTTGAGTTGTTGTACCTCCTTCCCGGGAGCTATCTCCCCCTCTGACTTCTCTCCAGAGTTGTAATCGTGATGACGCTTCGAATGCGTGTTTGGCCTATACATACATTGTGACTTACGGTGACCAGTCAATGTAAAAGTCAGTGATCTTATCCTCCTACACAAATCTCGTGCCAATCGCTCTACTCTGGAGAAATGAAAGTTTTCGTTGGCTCAATAATTTCTCAATCCAGAAATCGATCCTGATTCATACCATATGATAGTGCTACACCAACTCTGCCCCTAATGAACAATAACAGTTTAATTAGTAGTGTCTTTATAGCCTGGAATGGAATGGGGTGGTAAATCGAGCACTTTTTTCCATAAGCGGGCGTTGTTTTCGCCTATGTCGCATGTACTTGTGATTTAATACTTTGCTGATCGGGTGATGTCGTCCACAAGATGATAAGAGCTTGGAAGAAGTGGAATTCGCTTTTTCTGTTTCGCTTTTTGACAGAACACGAAATAGACCGAGGAGCTGTCCAATGTTCAATTCCATTCATGAATGCTGTTTGATTCTCGATCTTTGGCTAATAGTGGCCATAAACCAGTTGCGATCATTTCTCATGGGTTCATCCTCCCCGGAACCCCACATAGACAGTGACCACAGTCACTGAAGGACAACTAGACTTCAAGTAGCCGACATTCGTCTTGTCTATCTGTCAGGCCTTTTTCCAAAAAAAACTGTTAACGCTACAGATCAAGCAGAACAGAAGGAATTAAATCAACAAACATCCTAGAGATAATGAATCTATAAACTGCAAAATCAATCATATGATCAGGACCAATCGAAATATTCGAATCAATCCAAACTACTCAACAGTTCTAAATAATATAGACGACGTTTACATAGTTGATGTTGTTAGTTTTGACTTAAACTGCTATCACTCCATAAACTTTCTCAGTAAGGAATAACATGTCGATAATAGCATCGCCCTTCCAAAATATTCCCTGTGGTACAGTAGCGCTCAAAAGTGTTCGGTGAAATGCATCGACGCTTTTTTGTTCATAACTTTTATCTTACAATTAGTAGACCAAATCGCGCATTCGGAGATGTTTAACTAGAGCATATTTCACCCTACCCAACACTATTTGACTGCAAAGCTACAATATCCACAGATAGAGCAAGGTGTTTGTTGCTGTAGCAGATTTTGCTAAAAGTAAAGTTGTTGACGTCTGCACTTATTCGCACCTTATGTGCGTTTTTCTCATCTGTTGTGTTCCGCGTTACCGCTCGTACACTTTAGATATGACAAAAAGAAAAGAGCTTCAAGGAGGGCCACCATCTGTATTTTCAGTGGGATTTAAGTTCATGCTCTTTGGAATATCTGGAACATGATCAGATTTTGGGATAATAGTGGTAAATATTCACAATACACCCACGCTCCAAATATATCGCTTCAAATATAATTAGATCCAGTAGGAAAGGAGTTATGACTGAAATGTACGGCTGAAGAGCCATTTCTTCGAAGACTTTTGAGCGCTACTGTATATAAGTCGTCCTTATGATAACTCCAGCTCAAATCAAATGTGCTCAACAACTGCACAGTAATTTCTTGCATCAAAAAGGCAGGTCAAGATATTCATTTTACGGAAATTTAAGTGTAGCACCGGGAAGCAGTCAGTCTTACGGGTACCTTACAGTACAGAAAGCTTTTAGTTCTACGGGCAAGGAACCGTACAGAAATATGCTCCTTGGCAGGTAACTCAAAACAAAAATGATGTTGCCAGAAAGAACTTCAAAGCCTACTCAGTTGGAAAAAAGACATGGAGGAAGAAAAAACAAACTTCCATGGAAACATTTGGATATTTGGAATCTATGGAATAGGCTGAAAAGATGATTGGAAGATTGGATGATGGTGGCTCCTTTGCAGAATTAATTTTATACTATGCCATACTTGTCGTGGATAAGAGGGGCGTGGCTCGTTATCGAAGGTGGACGACTATTCTTAACTAGTTGTCTCGCCTCGCAGCATGTCATTAGTTTCTAAGGCGCTTGCTATCTACTCATTCGGTAGAAAAGGCAGCCCATGTTCAAAGTTAACTTATGCTCAAAAGAGGAGTAAGAATAAAGGAATAAGAGGGATAGAAATAGAATTGCTCATGCCATCAGCACTCTCTATGTACAGCTTATCAGCCTTCACACGTGGTGAGCTATTTAGCCAAATCGGCATCGAAAAATGCAGCTGTACACTTGGTTCATTACGCAGTAGCGTAATGGATAAAGAGCATGTGCTCAGAAAGTCCGAGAATGGATTCGAAATCGGTCCCCTACCAAACTAAAACGGTAGAAAACGCTCCTCTAGGTAACCGAAAAAGGTTATCGCCAAGGTTACACGTTATCTCTCTAAGTTTGGTTGCTAAAGTCATTACCGACAAGTTTTACTTGACCTATTAACACCTCTTATAAATAGTTAATTAGAATCCTCCAAGTAATCCTATTCAAAGCAAAATCCTCTTTACAAAATCAAAGGGTACGGCAGGTGTTCTACATTTCTTGGACCATGAAAAGATGATTTGTGAAAAGGTCATATCATTTCTCTTCAAAGTACATACCAGCGGCAATTAGAAAGCTTTCAGAAAATTTTGACAGTCTATACGAAAGAAGTGGTGCGACGACAGACTGAATGATAGGACTGATAAGGAGACCAGCTAGATTAGCAAAGTCGGAAGGTTGGTCTATTGTCGCCCCTGAATTAGTGATGAATGCTTTCATGGGTGATGAACCGTAAAGAAATTCTAATTGAAAAGGAAGAGAAAGGGAACCTCGAATAAGTTGCTAGCGGAAGGGATAGTAATAGAGCGTAGTCAGCTGATCAAGTTAAATGCTTCACAGATAGTTATTGATTGATTAGAGTACCTCCAAGTTTTCGAGAAGAGCTTTTTGAAGAGTTGTAAATTCACTAATATGAGCGAAGGTATGTTCCAGACTCCAAAAAAAACTTTGAAAGAGACTGCCGATTGATACCTAGGCGAAAGGAGGTTTTACCTCTAATAAGAGAAGGAATTCGCTGTTTTCATCCTATATTGTGAGCGCAAAATAGCTTTGGAGTCAAAATACTTTGTGTGCATTAAAGGCACCGTTTACGATAAAATTAGGGTACCCTTTTTTGACGGGAATTGATAGAAATACTCTAGAATAAAGCGATAACAACGAAAAAAGCGTAAAAAACGATGAGCAAAAAGAAATAGAAAGGACCAAAAAAGAGCTGGAAAGGGGGGTTGGACGAGTTTCACTTGGAAGAACGGCGGTTAAGGGAGTGTTCGGGCGAGTGCACGAAGACGACGCAATGTCTGCAATAGCCGACAACATACCCAATTTGCCTGACAATCTGACTGGCAGTCTCTGGCAATTTGCCAACCAGCTTATCGACCTTTCACCAACTTCGCTCCAATGCGAAAGTGGTGAACGGCAATTAGATTTCGTAGTCAGCCTAGCGAGGAGCGGAGGGCGACCGTGGCTAACTCTCCGGCCCCTTATTGTACCCTATCCAGACCGTTTTCCGACCTCATTCCTGCACAAATGGTAACAAGAGGGCGTCGAATTCAAACCATGTGCAAATCTCCGAAACCATTTTTTTCGTGAACAGTGCCTTTAAAAAAGCTGCCTAGGAATCGAACAGCTAAGATTTCACTTTACTGATCCTACTTCTCAGTAATCAGTCCTTGCCATAGAACGATCCGATGCCTTGTCTCCTTGTTACCCAGGACTCAAATGAGCGGAGCATTCCAAAGGAAAATAGCGTCAAAGCAGGCATCTACAATCGAAGTATTAAGTTGGGCCAAGGTTCTGTGAAAATAAGGT